ACCGTATTTGCTAGATTAAAATATTTTAAGGGAATTTAAGAATATAGTACAATAATATAAAAAAAAAATGTCATTGATTTTTTTTAAATTGAATATCAAAGTGCAAACGTATATGGAGAAAGAATTTCGAAAAAAATAGATAAATGACCAAAAAAAAAAAATAATAATAATAATAATAATAAAAATAAATAAATAAATAAACAAAAATGATACGTTGATTGCCTCTTTTATTCGTAGTAAGGCGTTCTGTTATTCATTTTCTCAAAGTTAACCATTTACAAATTTGTGTTAGGTTTGTCTTTCTAGAAAGGTTGCATAACAAAGAGAACACTTGAATTGAAGTCTCTTTTTAATGAGACTGCAGTTTTTATCAGAATCAAGTCGGATAACAAAATCCCATTAAACATTTGATCAAAAAGTTCGTTTCCTCTCAAGATCCCACTTTTATGTACAAATTTTTGGAGACTTTGAGCATGAAAACTACGTATTTTTGGAAAATAAAAACTTTATAAATTTATTGACACCATCAATTCTTGGTTCTGCATTATGAAAATATTCCGATATGGCTAGTTTACAGCATATTTCATCGTGTAAAATAAATTCTCAAATTAAGGGAAATTTCAAACATTAATTTTTGATAAAAACGTATAGAAAGACTATTTCTGTGTAACTAAAATAGAGATAATCTGCCGGGAGTGGTTGTTGAGATCGTACTTTGGTCAACATTTATGCGGTGAATGGGTCCAAGTTGATTGTACTTTGTACCAAGTCCGTGATTTGCTCTCTCGAATATCATGTATTTGTCAGATAAACGTCATGAATGTGTATAAAAATAGCACGTATTAACTAAAAATACGATTCATGGTTTGTATTTGGCCGTATGAAAAAAGTCCTTTAAGAAATAAATAACAAGTTTAAAAACTTCAATGGGAATTGAAGTGGGTCGGTCACGTGATCAAATCCTGTGAAGGCCGAAGGCCTTCTCAGAAGATTTGATCACGTACCGACCCACTTCAATTCCCATTGAAGTTTTTAAACTTGTTATTTATTACTTATATATACATTTGAGACGGACAATCGAATGTAATCGAATATAAATATTGCACTAACTGTACGTCGTAGAATTTGACAAATTACGCTAGGTGTAAATCGGCTTGAAAAGCGGTTACGCTTCAAATTCATCTGGCAAAGGATTGTTTTGAAGGGAATATTCTGTGAAAGGCTACTTGTGATCAATTATAGTGAGCATATTGGTGTCTGGAAATTTTTGTATTCATGAGAACCCATATTCGATGTTAAAAAAACACAAGAAACACGTCCGATGTTTGATACTAAAAAGTTGGAAGAATTTCGATCGGAAAGGGATGGATGGAGACACTTGTCCGGACCAGATAACTTGAAATCAAGTACAAAATTTGATCAAAAACATAAATTCTACGATTTCAGTAAGGCATATTTATTAATTTATGATGTTGACATGGAGACACTGGCGACAGCTTACATTGTTAAGACAACGTCACAACGATCTCGATGATGGAGGTGTGCCTACCGAACTTCCAAAGTGCAGTGTTTGTCAGCTGTTTGTGGCGTGATTGCATTACATTGATATTTTTCAACAGATTTTCAAATTTATTGTGAGTAAAGTTTAATGAAAAAAAATTATAGCATTCAGAGGTCTGCGAGAAAAATAAGGGTAAATGTTGAGACTATGCAGCTCAGACATGAAACTTATAACACGTAGTTTTCTTTTCTCTATGTAAAATCGATCAAGAACTGTATTAAATACTCGTTTACATTGTAAATAAAATGATTATTATTTTACTTGCGTATTTTGTACATATTTATGCATGAAAAACATGCTATATTGCTTAGTGGAGTAAGTCTTTTTAATAGAGATATTACTGCGCTGTGTGATTAGGTCACGTAATGACCTATGACCTTCGAAAAACTTCATACAGGTATGAAGATATTTGCTCTCTGCATGTTTATATAATAGAGAGATACCACAAATGTATATATTTAAGTATGAGGAAGTGCATGCAATTAAAAAAAAAAAATCGAGACTGGTCGGTGAAAGATAAATCAACGGTTAAACAGGATTTGGTTGAATGGAATATTTATTAAGTATCAGTACTTTTTTATGGAATTAATTTTCATCTACATATTATTTTATAGTGTTTGAATAAAATGATCATATGTAACCAAGACTTAATTTAAAGATTAGAACAGTACATTTCTCATTATTATTTTAATCAATTAATTCAAAGCTCCATTTTGACATGAATAAATAAGACCAGTTTTAACAACATGTATAAGAATAATATTCTGATTTCTAAATCTAGGACTTATAAAGAAGCGGGATTTGAGCATTTGGACCAAGAAAGGTGCAGTCTTTTTCATTCATACAAAATATCTACTCTTCTGCATATTTAAACCCTTGTGTGAGATTTTAGCAAAAGTGTTATGTCCCAATACAGAAAATAAATTTCAAAATTAAATATCAATACAATACTAGTATTGTAAAAAACAAACTTAACCTGGACTTCTCTGCCATTTCATGAAGATTTTTGCCCACGTGTTACATGTAGCTATAGGTCGTTGAAAATGTTCAAATACATTTTATAGTGACTTTAAAGTATAAATAACACCTTTTAAAAAACAGCTCTGATGATTAATTCATGCCGATATTTTATCAGAGAATCTGAGTTTCATGGAAAATATTGATATTTCGGTTTTAATATTTTCAAAACCTTTCCGCATATAAATAAATGATTATAATTTTGAGCTGTCCTATTCGTATTCTAATCCATGTTTATTAAACTTATTTATGCCGCCCTTTTCCCACGGTCTTAATGAACTCAAAATAGCTTTGTTCCAAAACCGTTCTCTGAATCAATATTTAATTGGAATTGAAAATCACTACCAATGGGGGATAGAGGAAAACAGAGTTTTTAAAAGCCATTTTGAAATAGTAGTAACTGGAAAATTGCAACTGCCTTAATGTATAGTAAGAGCATACCTGCATTAATAAGCAGTGCTATCAGCTGCTCACTTCTGTTCATAAAGTATCTAAAGCTTACCTTCACATACAAAAATTTTATTTCCTTGCCCTTGTCACGAATTTTTCTGCACAGAAGACAATGTCATCAATTACAATTAACATATTTATATATCCCTATATAAGTTTTACAATTTGTTTTAAATCTCTAAAGACGTAGTGATATTTGGAGTTTTTCCCTTACCTATCCCTGTTAGAAAATATACTTCCTTATTTTCCTCATATAAAATGCTTAAAATTATTAGAAGTACACATAAAATATATGGGATAAATGATAGAGTAAGTATTACTTTAAGCATTTATAGTATTCTTAATTTTTTCTCCTTTATTTTATTTTATTATCGAGCTCAACATATTTCATCAAACTCTTGTTCGGAGAGCTTTTTGCTGGAAGAAATAACTTTCGTTAAATTAAATAACTTGCAATATGTGTCTGTGTTGACTGAAAAAAAATCAATATTCTCTCACAGTGTACGCTTTAGTCCCTGAGTAAGAATTGTATGGTGTTTAATACAAATTATTCAAAGCATATGTTACATTTTCGATGATTTCTACGTACTTAAAATAATTCAACACTCTATCATAAGATAATACCTCTTTCACTTATTGCTCTGCAGACTTCCATACTTCTTGTTTCTGTAAATATTACATATAATGAGTGTTAATAAAGCTAGTTAACCTTTGATTTGATAAATAAAGCTACAGTTGAGATCTTGATGATTAATTTGATTCCCACGTTGTCAACTGATCTTAGTTAAGTGACACGTATTACTGTGAAACAGTGTAAGTGTTTGTTAGAATTGGAGGGTATGCAGTGATGTAAGTAAAATTTGTGCATGACTTACGTTACATATTTGAGCAATTTTTTTAATGACGCTGGTCTATCTAAACTTTAATATGGTAATGATATAATCGCGCTTACAAAACTAAATTCTGTTTAAAGATACTGAATCTACTTATGCACTTCTATATTCCGTTGATTTCTTCATAGTACTCTTAACAGCACTACATTTTTTCTAAAATTAGCTGTTAGAAAACAAACAAATTATTTAAATATGTATGATTTAATAAACTATCTATCGTGGCTTTTTTTTTCTAATTAACCGTTTTTTTTTAATGTAACATCCGAGATTCTAAACAAAAACCTCTACTTCTTGATTTGATGAAAGAAAACAGACAATTATCAAAAATTTGTAAATATATAGTTTGAGGCGTGGAATTTGTCCTTACAAGAAAGAAAAGGAAATGTAACCATTTATTACATTTCCAAGGTAAAAAACTGTGAATTATTTATTGAATAAAAGTGATATTCTCTCACAGTGTGAATGGATATCAAAGTAAGCAAAAATAATTTCTGGCCTGTAATAAGATAGAGATAGTAACTAAACCATCTTGATAGAAACAAAAACTGTCAATTTCTTCCCAAATATGTTGCTAAAATCCACGTTACAATGTTTTCAATCTCAAACCTGCTAAGCTATGACATCTCAACTGTTCAACTATGACGCTACAGTCTATGGCACTAAGAAAAGACAGAGGTAAAGGGAAAATGTAAAAAAAAAACCCCAGATAATTCAATGTTTTGTTTTTGCACCCGTGAAAATATCAAAAATCATGTCCCACTCGTGAAATAAATTCCATATCCAACAAAACATATTGACTATCCTCCATATAACCGTTGTATTAATTCTCTGACATTGTCTTTTGCAGGCAAAGATGAATGTTTTCTGCAGAGAAAATATGATTATTTTTTAGATAGAGAACCATGTCATTCTTTCATGAACTTTGCAGAATAAATACCAAGGTATATTAGGCCGTGCTTATCATTGAATGATAAAAATTTGCTATTTTGTTCATTAATTCTTCTTTACATACATATATACTTTACATATTCAGACAATCATCTACAAGATCAAAGAAAGGCACAATCACGCAGAAATAGATGAGTTACGAGGAAGAGATAGGGTCAAGGTCAGGAAGAAGGCCTCAGCTGAAGGTCGAGTTGGTATCAGGTGAAGACATCAGCAAAAATCATGAATGTCACAGTGACCCAATCAGTGACAATAGATGTGTTGGCAAAGGCAAAAAATGTCTGAAAGATATCAGGAAAGTTGATATTTCATCCAATGTTAATGAAGATGTGAATCATGAAAAGGATTCTAATGTAACTAATCTTCCCTTAGTGTACTGCAGCAAACTGGAATGTAAACAATGCAGATGTAGCATAGTATTACACGAATCAAAAAGGAAACGATTTGTTTCTTGTAAGAGAAATATTTATCCAAAGTTTTCAGGGAGAAAAGAGGATAAGCCGCATCAATCATATGTATACCACAGTTCTCTTCTATGTAAACATGTAGAGAGCATCGAAGCAATTGTAAGTAAGATTGAGAGTGACTTTAAAAGAGATCCACCAACTACTTTACACAGGAAAAGTAAAGGAGAGTTTCAAAAGGATCAGAGAAAGAAATACAAAGCGTTTTGTCCTTCAAAATTTGATTTATGTGCTAGGAAAAAGAAAAAAACCAAAAGATCCCAGAAAAACATTCACACTTAAATTTGGAGAAATGTCGTATAGAAAAAGATTTTCAAGAAAGACATATACCTTCATATTTTTCTAGGAAGTGTAATAGAACAGTCAATGAGATTTACAGAAAATATCTTAAAACTAATCCAAATACAATAAGATATTCCAACATTATAGATAAAATCAAAGAAACTATTAAGAAATTTGAACATCAGAGTTGTTCAAGGCATTTCCACAATAAAATTCGTTTTGGTTTTGACAGAAAAAGCAGATATTCAGAAATTAAGGAAGACCTAAAGTTTATTCTGTTTGGCTTACCTCAAATAAGAAATGAATTCATTCAGCTTTTCCCAGTGTATGGGGCTTCTAAAAATCTTGACGAATTTGTAGAAAGAGAAATAAATGAAAATCAGAGAAAGAACGACCAAGAAACCTACTGCCATTCATTGAATTTAGAACTTGTAAGACTGAGTTCATTTCACAATTTCCCATCCTCCAGCTCAGTATCAACGGTGAAACTTGCTCGGCAGGGGTTTTATTATTCAAGGGAAGAAGACACTGTTATATGTTTCGCTTGTGGATTTAGAAAAAATGATTGGAAAAAAGAGGATGATGTTGAAACTATTCATAGAGCTGCCTCTCCAAACTGTCTGCTTCTTAATTCAAATTCTACGAGCAATATTCAAATTGGAAGGAATGAAGCAAATGGCATTGACGAAAATTGTGTTATCCAAAATGAAGGTCAGCAAGGAATAACTGGACCGTTTACAAATGGATCAAATATTGCATCCCAAGTTTTAGTCAATAATGAAGATATATCTAGAAACGTAAGAGATTGTATACAAAATCATTCTTTCAATAGACCCCCATTTGATCAGCTCACAAAAACTATAGCTCAACAAGAAAAGATTAATGCATTCATTCGAGACCTAGATCCGCTAGGTATTAACTTTGACCATCCTAAGTATCCTTCTTACGCAGCATTAGCAGTGAGAATTAGTTCCTTCACAGACTGGCCCTCAAGTATCACACAGACTCCTAGAGACTTGGCCATTGCAGGATTTCTTTATGCGGGATATGGAGATTACACGCGATGTTTCTTCTGTGGGGGAGGATTACGAAACTGGGAACCTGGCGACGATCCTTGGACAGAACATGCCAGATGGTTTCCGAAGTGTGCTTTCCTGAGACAGAACAAAGGGGACGAGTTTGTTGCGTTAGTGCAAATTGAACACCAAGAAGAAGTACGTATTTCTCGGAAATGCTGTCTTTTTATCTAATGCATTGTTGTTGTGAAATTAATTTTGCATGTTTCTTTAAAATTTGTAATTTCAAGGAGGCATTAGGAGGAATGAATGGTCAAATCGGCGTCCTAGCAAATGATAAAATAACAATACAATCCCAGAGTTCTGTACAATGCGTTACAACACATCCAGGTTTTCAAAGTCTGCTTGAAATGGGCTACTCATCTCCGACTATTCAAAAAGCGTTTGATCTCTTGAAAGAAACGAAAGGTAGACACAATATTGATACTGTTTATAGTACAAAGAGAATTTTTTGACCCCGTTATATTATACTCCTGTCATTCTCTTTGAACTCGGGGAAAATAACCCTCTTTAAAGTCAATGAGAACACAATAAGATACAGACAAATAACAATGCGATTTAAAAGGTGTACAATTCTAGTTTCTCTCATAATCAGCATTATTTTTAGGTTTATGAAATTAAAATTTCAGAATCGATAGACATAAAGGCTGAAGAATTACTAGAAATAGTTTTAGCTGAAGAAGAGACAACTGGAGAAGACAACTTACCGTCGTCTGCATCGGGCCTAGGAGGCGTGGAAGAAAAAATAACAAACGCAGGGAAGTCAAAACAACTTAAAACAGACACTTGCAAAGATATGGACTCTGAATATTTGAATGAAGAAATTGGTGAGTATATAAAAGTATAACTGTTCAATTGTAATCATGGTTGAGAAATTGGTTCATTGTAAACATGAATCTTATATAGAGAATTATAATATGCTTTGTAGATTTTTATACGCAAAAACAAAGAGATCTGAACAGTGTTAGCCAGTCTTTGGCGTCCATGACAGTTGAAGGTACTGATCATTGACTGTAATCATGTAATGGAGACAAAATGTGAAAGACTTTAATCCCTTCATTTAAATCTTTATTTTTGAGTACCCATACAATTTCTTGAAAATTTTATTGTATTTTTTTTTTTACAATTTAGAGACAAGGTCACTCATTGAAGAAAACAGAAAACTAAAGGATCTACGGCTTTGTAAAATCTGTCTTGAGAACGAGGCTTCTATCGCCATGTTACCTTGTGGTCATCTTTGTTGTTGTCCAGATTTCTCCGGCCATGAGGAAGTGTCCGATATGTCGACAGTTTGTAAAAGGGACAGTGAAAACATGGCTGGTTTAATAATTTTCCCGTGAGATTTTTTAATTTAAAGCATGATATCATTAACAACAATTATGTTTGTTAAAATACGTTAGATAACATTTCATTTTATTTTTCTATGCTTTTTCGTAATGAATGATCATTGATATTATTTGTGCCAAGAAATTAAATCAAATGTCAACCTCCCGAACATTTTGCTACATAGAAGAATTTCTCTTAAGAAATATTTTAGTGCGTGATTTAAAGAAATAAATGATTACTAGGTACACTGTACGTGTAAATATTGAAAAAAAGTTCCATTTCTCTTGAGTACATTAACCATCTAGAAATTATTAATTTCCCTGGCTGACACTGGTGCCCATGATGTTCATTTACGAATAAGGAATTTAGAGAAAATTCGAACTATGATTTTGATATTTCTTCCACTACGTGGCGAAGAATTATTAAAAATTTTTGTACTTTAAATTTCTTAAATAAAAATAAATGTCATCCGAAGATAGTGCAATTTAAAAGTAAACTCAAATCTATTGTACACCAAAAACAATCCTTACGCATGTGTACTATTTGTGATTTTTTTTAACATCTGCATCCACAAATAAAATTTGTGATAAAGTAATCTTCATAATTTTCAAACTTAATTCTTGCCAACAGTGTCTAATTTTCTTCTTTCAATTATTTTATTCTATTTGGTGTTCATTCATTTTATTGGGAGGGGGGCTCGTATATTGTTTCCAGATGACGGCGAATTTCTGTGAATCAAGCGGGGCACATAAAAGATGTTGGCGCGTGGTCAGGTAATTGCTATCGAAACATCCAATCTCAGAACATCAGATAGCACAAGTAGCTGACCTGTCCATCAGATCAGTAGCTATTGTATTATTTATGATTGACAGGCGGTATAGTATTGATCTTGAACCAGGTAGACTTTGGAGGCGTTAACGTAAAATTGGGTGTTTAAAATCTGTCTTAAAAAAATCAGATATTAGAGTGCGATAAGTAAACAATAAAAATTTCAAAGCGGTACGAAGAATGAAGGATTCATTTTACTATTTGACTCCTACACAACACCACAAAACATATTTAAATTTAAAAAAAAATTCAGAGTTCAATTTCAGTTTCTAATATTAGTAAATATTGAAATATTATCCTGATACATATAACCAGGTATAATTTTTACCGAATGACCACAGAATGTTACCTAATTCTGAGACTTTTCATATTTATTTAAAAAGGAACTATATTACTCGGATATTAGAAGGGTTTCTTTTGTGAAATATCCTTTTTGATTAATTAATTAGTGGAATTGATTTTCGGAGTGATATGAAATTAGAAAGATTTGTTTCCACATATTTTTTTTTATTTAAATTTTCAATATTATTCGAATTTTTTATATCTTAAAGTTGATCGAGAGCTCGAGTACAAATTGATATGATTTTCTAGTATCCTATATTTTAGACATCATAGGTGAATTATGATAATATAAAGAAAAAATATATAAATTCACAAAGAATTTGGAATCAATGAAAAGGTAAAAGTTTTCCTTTGCCAATCAAGCGCTTGGCATTTGGAAGTGAAGTTGTGGGTCTTTCGGATGGAATCTTAAAAACTAAGGTTCTGTGTCACGACGAGCGATCACACACAGTTTGGAGAGGCAGCTCTATGAATAGTTTCAACATCATCCTCTTTTTTTCCGATCACACGCTGTAGAACCCTCTCCAGCGGCTGATCCAGGAATTTCATAACGGGGGGGGGGGGGGCAGTAGAAGGCAGGGGGGTCTGGGTGCTGGATTGAAGCCCCCAGCGGGTCCAGGGTAAAGCCCTGGTGGGGTCCGAAACTGACGAAATCTAACAAATAAGAGATTTTTTCCCTTGATTTTAGGATGATACAAACAAAATGTCAAAAAAAAAAAAAAAAAAAATCAAAGGGGGGGGGGGCGCCCGGCGCGCCGGCGCTGGATCCGCCTTTTGACTCTCTGCTGAATGGCCTTGCGTTACGGGTAAAGGTTCAAATTTGAAAATTTTTACCGGTATCTGATGAAATCTCATGTGAGTGAAATAGTCTTGCAAGGAACACTACAACAACTACACTACAATTACACTAAGACTTCAATAGACTAACTGACACCGACCCTTAAAAGATACTTTCTTGTGTCAACAATTTTGGTGTATTCTGAAATTCCAAAAATGCCTACTTTAAAAAAAAAAAAAAAAAAACTCTGGAGTTTATTTTCGTGCGCCTTGACATTCTATACATTTTAGATTGAGTTATTGTGGTGACGGATATGACTTTGAAATTAATACACTTACCCACGAAACACCCCCAAGTATATATTTATAGACGTGTTAAAATAGCCAAGTACACCGAAGCATGCTATAGTGCAAATATCTTAGAAGAGCAGATTAATAGTACAAAAAGTACATGTAAGTGCATGTGGTTTCTGCACCATTTTAATTGCCAGAATTTTTTAAAAATCACTTTCCCGGTAGCCAGCTGAAGAGCGAAGTTCATGACAAAGCTATAAATAGAAACAAGCGTCAAAAGAGAAATTTGCTATCAGTGCTGATACATGTATTTAGCTTTACAAACAAAATTTATTTTGAATTAATACTTTATGATAGATTCTAAACACTTTCGGAAGGAAGTTTTAAACAACACAAAACACTGAGGATTCATATTTAAACTAATTTACAATAAAGATAAAAACAGATATACAGTATTAGATATCCATATTGCATCTAATATTTTATACCGAACATTTCGTGGGCTTAATCACCCACTGTCCTATTATCCCCTTACTTTATTACAAAGTAATATATATCAGAAGCATATTTAATGACATGTATCAAACGGAGTAGCCATGTGTTGTGTTATTATATGTTTCCTATGGAAAACTATATTTCTATTTTAGCATATCTAGTACATTTACCAGGAATTCCATCGTAATGGAGAATGATAGAATAATAAAAGGCTTACTTTGCTTCTATGAAAGACAAACCATATTTTACATTGACACCATTTATCAATTTGTAAACTGTTCAGACAAATTAAAACTGTTTTCACAGGTTCTTACATTTTTATGAATTAAGTAAGTTGACTGTACTTCTTCACGCCCTTTTTTTTTTAAATTTACTTATTGTTCTGAGGGGTGGGGTTGGGGGTGGTGATGTTATAACTTAGGAAAAGTAATCAATGGTTTATAAAATACGTAAAACAAATATATTAAAGACTAAGAGCAATATAATCAGATTTATCTTTGTACATTTGAAATTTGTTTGGAAACTTATAAGCAATTTTGAAATTTGAAACTTTGGTCTCTAGAGTGCTCAAAAAAGGCATTTGCCCTTGCATAAGTCTGTATCTATGCAAATCTTTTATTGTGGTTTAAATTAGTTTTATTAATACTGATAATAAATATTTTGTTCGAATATACATTACTGTTAAATATTTTATTGTAGATATAATATTTCTTTTTATGCTGAATCATTACCATGACTGTTAAAATACTCTTGCATGTGCATAATAAGACTTATCAAAGTTCTATAAATTGACATTGAACTTTCTAGTTGTTGTATCATGTATATAATGCCGTTTTCTTTACACAAACCAAACTTAAAAAGATGTTAAGATGACATTCTTCCGGGAAAGGAAAAAAATAAGTTATTTTGATAACATTTATTTTTTTACAATGATATTGTATCATTTAAACTATAAAATAACCTTGTGTAACTTCAGTTAACATGCTTAGAAAAAGAACCTTAAGGATCGATTATTTCCATCTTACGTATTCTTAATAAAAGCGTAAAATTAAAATCAGAATTGAAAAATCAGGTACCAAAATCTGTTCAAAGAGTTTTTTTTTTTTTTTTTTTTTTTTTTTTTTTTTTTACAGATTTTGATAATGTTAAAAATTTCTAATTTCTAAGTTGGATATTTCATATACAATTAACAGAAACAAGAGTTTAGCTTGAAATTAAAGAAGGTGTGATTATTCTAGAGTTTTAAGCCTTTATATTATGTATCAGGAAACCTCTCATAAGTTAATATTATTTACACTTAACAGTTACCTGAGCACTTTTGTTAGATTATTGTTTCCATTTTTGTATCTCCGAGTTTCCTCGATTGGAGAAAACTGGAACAGTAAGGTAAATATATTCTATCACACGTCCAGTGATATTATCCACATGACTATATGGCGTGTGTATATTCTTTAATAAAATAAATACTACAAAAGAAGAACTCGTGAAAATATACGTTTACATCCACAACAAACACCAGTTATTTGATCGTCTTTTATTCGTCTATTTAAGAAATGAATTTAATTTTTGAAGATTCATGAGGACATCAACTACAACGCTTCACGCGTTAGCGCTTCATGATAAATATACCGGCGTGAAGCGTTGTTGTTCATGTACTTCATGAATCTTCAAAATTTAATTCATTTCTTATATTTACATTATTTTCTGATGAGTTACCACAGATTACATCATTCGACTGTCATTTATAAAGCAAAACAGATTGCACTATAGTTTTGACGTTAAGTA